CGATTTCTGTTTCTGACGCGTGCGGAGGAGGGAGTGTTGCACCGCATTTTTCAGAGTCATCGCAACGTGCTGCAGCTTGCGGGCTGCGGTGTTCAGCAGCTGCTGTTGGGCGCCGCTGGAGGCCAGCCATTTCTGCAGCGCGTGTGTGGTGCGGTGATGGAGTGGGACCTGTGGGACTGTTACGAAGCGCAGGACACGTCGAAACTTCGGCGGCCCGCGCGCATCGTCAGTGCTGACGCCCTGCTGCCCTTGCCGGAGGGCGTGCTGCCGTCGCGTGTAACACTGAAAGGCATGCGCGGGATGGTGCAGCACTACTGGAAGGCGCTTCTCACGGAGCAGCAGCGCACTTCCCTCTCGCGGCGGCCGGCTGTGACGCGCACGACGCTCTTCCCCGTTGACAAGGTGGCCGCGTTGTACGTGCTGCGGCACCACCCTGAGTACTGCACACGTGTGCGTGGCTGCGGCATTGCGGATGTCTGCGTGCAGCAGCAGCTGTGCCCCGCAGGCGGCAGGAGGCGGCCCTCCACAGCGGCCGATGAAGAGGTGGGGGGTGACGACGCGCAGGTGACGGAGCAGGCGTGCGAGTATATGCCCACACTTGCGATCATGCACAAATGTGGCTCCGTGACAGCCTTTGCGTACGAGGATTGCTACAATCCCGTCACGGGCACGCTGAACCGCCCGCAGGTGGTCGAGAGCGACGAGGGGGCGGTGGACACCGCGTGGTGCCCATCGCCGCCGTCGCGGAAGCGGTCGCTGTCTCCATGAAAGGGACACTAATGTCGTCACACAACTCGACAGTCGTGCAGCAATGGGTTTTGTTGGGCCCGTCTGCTTCTTTGTCTATGTGGGTGGGGGCGGCAGCAGCGACAACACGCAGAAGAGGTGGGTACGCAGAACGCGCAACACAAACGATAACTGGTAGGTGTACCGAAACATTTTAGTGTTGTCTTACTTGGGAGAAGACAGGCGTGCATGGTCGTTGCTCTCATTAACGCTACTACTACTACTACAATTCTACTACCATCATCACCACCACTACCGCTTCCAAGCGGCCAGGCGTCGGCATTCACAAACCCTCGTGTAGAACGTGTGATGCGGTGCTGTCTATTGGTTTTTCCTGGTTTGTGCATGCGTTCTGGGTTGCTTTATCATTCTTTTTCATTGTTCTTCTTTTTTTAATAATCATTGTTCGCAACAACAAATGTTGAGGGAGGAGTGAAGATAGGAGAGGCAAAAACACAACGTGGTGCCCATGCATAGGGCAGCGCCATTGCCCGTGCGGCGAGTGGGGCCTGGCGCATCCCATCTCGTCAGGTTCCTCATTGTGTCTCTCCCCTTCTTCCTCTTGTTGCTGCTGCTGCTACCTGTGGTAGACATCGGTAACCTCTTTACAGGGGCGGCGGATCCGCAGCTGAGTACACCTCCTCCCATTACACGTCTGAGAACACTTGACGCCATGGACGAGGAGAGCTGTGGGCGGGAGGCGATGGCGGCGCTTGGCGTAGTGCTCCGCGCCGTGCCGTGGCTGCAGCCACCCGACGGCTTTTTCGCAGTTGATGTGTTCTCTATGGGGGAACAACACGCCGATGTTGCCCTCAGCGGGAGGGCTGTGAGCAATCACACTATTCTGCACGCAGTGGTGCGGCGCAGCACGTCACGGCACCACGTTGTTCTGTTCGGTCCACTTCCCACCGACGCCGATGGTGAAGGGTTCGCTGTTCAACTATTGCTCACATGGGTGGGCCCGCGGTTTCTCGGGCAGCGCTGGTGGCTGCCCCCACGCAACAACAACCCGCCCTTCGCTGTGCGGCGGCAGACGTGCCTCGGCGTCGAGCTGAGCGGTAGGTGTGAGCAGTTCGGCGTGACAATCTATAATGGCACGTGGAAAGGCAGTGGAGCAGGCGCACGTGCAGGGCATGCGGCAGTGTCCTGCACTGGGCAGTGGGGAAACATTGAGCAAGGCCATTGGCGTCGACTGAGCCCTGCAGCTGAGCAAGACGTGGCGGTGCGGCGGCTTCTTCTTGACGATATTGGCCTTAATCAGTTTAACGACGGTTGGTGGTGGTGGCGGGCGCACGCGTGCAAGTCACACGTACGCGACAAAGCGGATGCGTTTGTATGTATGCGCCAAAGGCACGTGCGTACGATCACACTCGTTGGCGACTCCATGATGGTGGAGTGGTTCTACATGTTCGTGCAGCTGCTCTCCGGGGCAGAGAAGCAGGAGGACCTGCAGAAGCTAGTTCGTGCCAGGAAGTGGGGTCAAGGGCTGCGAGCAAGGACACTCGAATACACTGCCGCGTGGTCCGATGGTCGGGAGGACTCACGTGTCACGGTGCGGCTATACCGCTCCTACACGACAAAGCATGGGAGGAGCGTTATGCTGTCACCGTCCATGATCGTGAAGCAGCTCATGACATCCGTCTGGGACGAACACGACGAGGGGCAGTTACTGCTAATGAACTTGGCGCAGCTGCATTTTCAGCAGAGCATGTACACAGAGGAGAGCTGGGCCGCATTCCTATCGGAATTTGCCGAACTGTATTACTGCCATGTTGTGCTGCGCCATGATCAGTGTGATGCGGTGGCTAAGGAAGAAGGGAACATGACCACTACGGCAACGGCCTCACCGCGACCATCCGCTTTTTTCGTGGGTCCGTCGCTCATACAAATGGGTCGCACACAGGGTCTGGAGCCGATGCGGACACAGGCCTTTGCGCATACCGCGCGGACGCTACTGGAGCGTGTGGGGATAACGTTCTTGGGGTTTCCACACGCCGTGACCGCCGCACGGCGCGAGAGCGCCTTCGATGGGCAGCACTGGGCCTGCTACCACCAGCACGGTGGTGTGGCGCAGATGCTTGTGCAGACTTTTTTGGCAGGATTTTGTCCAGCGGTGTGACCTCTTGCGATTGGTGTCGCTGTGCACCCGCTAATGCTTGTGTCAGCCCGTCTTCGTCTGTTCGTCCTGTTGCTTGATTGCTTTTCTTCCTCTCTCCTTTCCTTTCTTTCCCCCCCCATTCGCCTCCTGCAACTCTGATAGCTTCTCTCCTCTTGTTTGTGGTTCTCTTGCGGTAGCGACAGGGGCGTTTGGTGGAAACGTGGAGGTGTGGCGCACGCCATCACAGAAGAGCAGAACATTACTTGTGTCAGCGGACGCGACCGCTCACACACCCCGAGATAAAGAGAGGGAGAGGAAAGAAGGCGTGATTGAAAGAGCGAAGGGTGGGGCGGGATAGTACGAAGCAAAGTTTCTGTTATTTTTTTTTGTTGTTTGGAAGGGGGAAGAGGCTGTGACGGTGGTAGTAGTGGTAGTGGGGAGGAGACGAGCACGTCTGTCCTCTTGCCAGCTGCGCAGCAGCATGAATCTCCGCCGCCCGCTCGCGATTGACATCCCCAGCGGCTGCTGGCTGCCCCGCCGCGTCCTCCTCGTGCGGCACGGCGAGTCGGAGGCCAACGTGGATCGCACGCTGTACGGCAAAATCCCCGACTGGAGGATCCCACTCACGGAGCGCGGCCACGCGCAGGCGTTGGACTGCGGCCGCCGTATCTGCAACATCATCAAGAAGGAGAAACTCTACATCTACTACTCACCTTACCTCCGCGCACGGCAGACACTGGAGGGGATTCGGAAAAATATAGACCTGTTCCAGATCAAGGGCGAGCGTGAGGACGAGCGGCTGCGTGAACAGGAGATGGGCAACTTCCAGCCGGAGGACATGATGGACGCTATGTGGAACGAGCGCAGTGATTTTGGCCGCTCGTACTACCGATTCCCCGGCGGCGAGAGCAGCGCGGATGTCGGCGACCGCGTGTCGACCTTCTTCGACTCGCTCTTCCGCGAGTGGCTGGAGCTCAGCTCAATGTCGGCGCGAAGCCCCGACGATGGCGGCGGTCCGCTCACGCTGCCGGACGAGGAGGACCACAACGTCGTGATCGTCTCGCACGGCTTGCTCATTCGTCTCTTCATTGGTCGTTGGTTCCGCGTGCCAATGGAGATTTTCGAGACAATGCGCAATCCGCCCAACTGCAGCATTGTGGTGCTGGAGCGCTGCGATTCGGGTCGGCTGGTGATGACGGACATCAGCAAGAAGCTCTTTGGCAGCGACCCACTACTGGAGATGATGAAATTCGACGGTAAGGACAACACACAGCTGTACCGCCACATGTTCTTCTCCGACACCCCCGGCCCAGTTCCTCCTCCACGCGAGTGGTGAAAGCGGATGTGTGGTGCGGTAAGAAAATAATGGAAAAAAAAACTCAAGGTGGTCGTCGGTTGGGCTCCGTGCGGTTGTTTTTGTTTTTTCGCCTTTCTTGCCCGTGTTTGCTCTGTTTTCTTTGTAGTCTGCAAAACGCGTATAGTGTGTGGAAATGCACCACTAGGGTTGCTGTTATGCGTTGAGGTGATGCCTTGCTGCTGCTGCTGCTGCTGCTGGATGCTGCAGTGCTGTATACGCAAATGCACACACGAAAGCAAATCATCGAGGTCTCCTTTTACTTTTCTTTTATGTCTTGTGGCCTTTGTTGTTTCATTCACGTACGTCTTTCTGGTTCACCTCCCCAAGTAGGTAGATAACGCCTTGTTCTGTGAGTGAGAGTGGGCGTGCGTGTGCGTTTGTGTATATTCCTTACTAATATATAGATTCATAGGAGCCCATGCTTCGATGGACGCTTCAGCGAGCGTGCGCAAAGGGCAAACATCCGAGCGTGGGCGCGTCGCTGGCTGACGCGGCGTCAGCAGCCGCATCGTCGTCATCGTCGTCGTCGTTCCCGACGCTGTCAACATCGTCCTCCTCCACGTCCTCCTTCGCGCCGCCCGCGTCGGTGGCGTTTGTCACGCACGCGGATGACGGCAACAAGATGTCCATCACAATTCGTAGTGGCGGTAATCGGCGGCCGCTGAAGGCAGCGACGCAGCTCCCAGAGCCGGTGAAACGCATCATGTTCGTGCGCGGCGGCAAAAGCCTCGCCAACGTGGACATCGGTACATACGTGACGACGCCTGACTGGCGCATTCCCATCGTGCCGGAGGGTGAAGAGGAGAGCTACCGCGCGGGCCGGCGCGTGGCGGAGATTGTCGGCAACGAGTCGGTCTACTTTTACTTCTCGCCGTACCTGCGCTCCCGGCAGAGCTTCAAGCACATGCTGCGCGGCTACGACGATTACAGGAGCGACACCAAGATGGAAGGCGAGCACATCATCGGCGTGCGCGAGGACGTGCGGCTGCGTGACGGCGATATTGGCCGCTACAAGACGAAGGAGGAGGTCCTCTTCCACCTAGAACAACGCGAGGTGTACGGAAAGTTTTTCTACCGCTTCCCCTACGGCGAGAGTGGCGCGGATGTCTGCGATCGCGTCACCAGCTTCCTCGATGCCTTTCAGCGGGAAAGGCTGTACTTCCCAATGGACACAAACGTCGTCATTGTGACGCACGGGCAGACGATACGCATGTTTATGAAACGCTGGTTCCACTTGACAGTAGAAACGTACCACATGATGGTGTCGCCGCCGCCTGGGTCGATTAGCACACTGACACGCATGCACCACCGCAGCCGTTTCCGCCTTGACGACAGTTGTGTTGAGGCAATGAAGCTTCCCCTCTCACTTAATGAATTCAACGGCTACAAGTACCGGAACAAACAACTCTTAGGGTCGATGAGTACCGGGGCGCCATTCATGTGAGCGCCACTGGGCTGGCCCCATTCATTCCTGTCCTCTCCGGTTCTGAGTTCGAGCGCATGTTCGTGTTTCAGTTTTTTTTTGACCACGCGTGGCTAGAGTTGCGTGTGGAGATGTTGGTTTTTTTTTTGTGTTTGGCATCGTCACACCTCCCCCCTCTCCTCTGTATGGTTAGCGAGCGGGAGAAAAAGCGAGCGAGGGAGAGGGAGGCAGGAGAAACGATTGAGCGAACAAGACGAAAAAAAAAAATGGCCTGCATGCATTCTTTGGCCTACGCTAATATACATACCGTGCCTTTGCCCTGCTTCTCCCATGCCAAAATTGCGTCGTCATGCTGCAGTGCGTGCACACCGCTTCCCTTCTCTCCTCTTCATTGCCTTTCTTTATTTCTCTCTCACGCCACCTGGCGATTTTAGAAGTGTGCAGAATGGCTCGCTGTGTCGTATGCGAGAAAGACTCGTCGCGCTACCGGTGCCGGATGTGCCGCAGTCCGTACTGCTCCGCCGCCTGCCACAAGGCACACCGCGACCCTGACGCACTGAATCACTGCTCCAAGCTGCGGCAGCCCGGCACTGACGAGGAGCCGCAGCTGCAGAAGGAGGATGAGGCAACGGTTGCTGTTGCACCTGGTGTGGTGGGTGAAGTGCGGAGCATGAAACGTGAGCGCGAATCGGACGGAAGCTTCATCTACGGTGAGCGGGATGAGGACGGGGAACTCGTGGTTCTCGGCGAGGCGCACCTAGCGGCGTTGGCGCAGAACGCCGGTATTCGCAAGAAGCTACGTAGCGAGGAGCTGCAGCGGCTGTTGCGCGTGATCGATTCGAGCCGCTCATGCATTGACGCATTAGAGGCGGCGATGGCGAACACGCCGGAGTTCAAAGCGTTCTGTGACGATGTGCTGGGCGCTGTGGCAGCCGCAGAGAGGGACCTCAAGCCGCGGGTGCTGTGAGCTGCGCAACGCCTGTGGACGACGCGTTGGCCGTTCCTTTGTTCTCGTCGTCTTATTTCTCCCTCCGCTCGCCACATCCCTTTTTTTTTTCTTCCCCCCCCCCCCNCCCCCCCCCCCCGTTTGGCGCGCATGCGTTTGGATATATGCCTGCGGTTGTGTCCCCACTCCATCTCTCGTGTACCAAAAGAAAAAAAAATGACATCTTCTTTTTCTGTTTGAGCTTTCGTTGAGGGTTGGCTGTTGAGGAACTGTGTATTTCTCAGCAGCAGCGCCGACAAGCAATACACACGCATACATACAACACACTCACATTTCCCTTACCCCCCTAAACAAGAAAGAAAAGTTTTTTTTTCTTCTTCTAGTGCGAGACTGGCCAGCATCTGCGGCAAAGTCTTGTGTAGAAGGGAGGTAATACCATCAGCCAGAACAACAACAGGGTGAGCCTGGGAAATCAACAGGGATCTACCCGGAGGTGGAAGAAAAAAACCACAGACTTATTTAGCTCTCTCTCTATATATAAACACACAGAGACACACACAGACATATATATATATATATATATATATATATACACCAGCATCTGGAGGAGGTGAGTGTCAAGACAAAGGATGTTGTTTAGGGAGTCGGCGAGCAGTACGAGCTCCTCCATGGACCCGGAGGATTTTTCTTCGAGCACTGACAGCGTTGCCAGCTCGGTATCCCACGCCACACGCGCCTTTGAGAATAGGATGAAGCTTCTCTTGGAGGGAACTCCCATCATCGACATGGACTTCCACCATGACGACGACGACGACAGGTTACCCAATGCGCTAGAGGCTGGCCACAACGCCCCCGTTGNGGACTTCCACCATGACGACGACGACGACAGGTTACCCAATGCGCTAGAGGCTGGCCACAACGCCCCCGTTGCGGCGAGGGACATGGCAGGCAACGTCGCCAGTGATGCGCCGGAGATGGGACAGGTGTCTTGCATCAACTGCGACGACGAGGAGGACTGGGGCTTGCTGATGCGTCGGCTAGACAATATGGTGCAGCTCGACACACAGTTCCACGAGTACCCGCCGCCCGAGTACTTCAAGGCGTATCCCCCGCAGCAGGCACTTGCAGACGAGCAGAGTGGGGATGGAGGAAGCACGTCGAGCCATCACCATGGAACAAAGATGTTCATTGGAGGCCTGCGATTCGAAGTTGTGCAGGTCGGTAGGCACATGATTAGCTGGATATTCGAGGTGGCATGCGGCGTGCGGCTGCCGCCCAACTCCATTCTAGTGCACCGAAAGGCCAAAGGAGGGAGGAGCAGCTCGCCAACCGGCTGCGCGTCGGTATTCGTGGGTAGCGAACAGGACGTGGAGCGTTTGCTGGCGCTGAACCAACGCATCTTCTGTGGAGAGAAGGGCGTCCATGTGGCGCCTACCGCTGCACGAATGACGGAGCTTATCGCCTCCAAAGCCATTCTTGACGTCACAGACGGACGCGCACGCGGGCCGACTCACCCCGTCATCATTGAGCGGGCCTACGGCTCGGCGGGTCATCACGGCACGCGTAGCAGCAGGGGTGCCACACCACACCAGGAGCACATGCCGTCTGGGATGCCACCACCACCGTACGATGCAAACTCGTTAAGCCAGCCACTGGGGGCATCACCCGCGCAGGTGTGTAGCAGTGCATCGTCGGTGCGGAGCAGTATGTCCATCTCCATAGGCATGAACAGTGCAACGACGAGTGGCGCCGTTGCGCCGAGCCGACCACCGCTGCTCTCGCCAGCCGTTGATCCTGTGTATCATCAGTTTCCGGGCGACGCGGCAGCGAGCCAAATGCTCCAGCACGCTGCTTTAGAGTTGCAGTGTCCTGCCCACCTCTTCGTTGGGGGCTTTGCCTCCGAGGCCACACGGGAGTTCGTAGCGTGGGTCTTCTCACTCATGAGCGTCTCCGTGCATCCCAGCAACGTCGCACTCTACACAGACGCCCAGGCGAAGGAAAAGGGCGTCTGCGTCACTGTGCGAGTTGAGGGGTCAGAGGTAAGCAAGGCAACGGCCTGGACGAAGCGCGTCCTGTGTGATGCGCGTGGGGTATACTTCGTTGGCTCACAGCGCGGCGTCCTCTCGCTGCTGGCAAATCGCGACAAGGCGGCGGGGCCGGCGCGGCCGCTTGTTATCAAACGCAAGGACGCCGCGCGTAGCGCCAACAAGGCGGCTGCCG